AGAAATGGAAACATCAAGAATATTCCTCTCGATTTCAGGACATTCATTCTCTCTTCTTCCAGATCCTCTCTTAGGTCTTGGTGAAATCATAAAATTATCAAGCAGAAAATATCAGCAACCATTAATGTACTTCATTCTTCATTTAAAGAAATCAAATATATTTTGGGAAAAAGAGGTTATTAAGAACAGAAGAAACCCAAATGTTTGTCTTTCATTTATTTATTTTTGGCTAAAAGTCCATTTTTTGTCACCTCAATTTGTGATCTATGTCCCAAAAGGTCTCCTCGTAATTTTTTGATGTTCATTATTCTCTAGTTTCTTCCTAGATGGTTTTCTGTCTATATTTGACAAGACCATGCATGCAATATATGCTGACCACGTTGGTTCTAACAGTAATGTTACTATCCGGGTATTAAATGCACCAGTTTTTCTGAGCTGTCTTTAATGGCAAGAGAACATTATAATCATGTAGTCTGGCTCTCACTAAGTCAGCAATGCTTTTTCCAGAATCAGTTTAAGATAATTAAAAGAACCCCATTGAAATGCAACACATTAATGAAAAAATCCTTAATGAATACTAAGCTTATTCTGATCCAAAGACTTTTGGCCTTTGCTTCTCAGTTGGAGAACCATTTGTTTATTATGAAATACATAGATAATTCCAAATTGTTATGAATTTGGATGGGCTATTATAAAAAATACTATAAAATGGAGAAAGGGAGAATTTCAGGAGTTTGGGGGTGAGGGAGGAAATAATGTGAAACCAGAACATCATACAAAGGGATCATCATCCACACTAATTCAAATTTCCATTTAATGTAACAGTTTCCCGAGAAATTAGCTTGGCTCCCAATATCCTGGCTTGCCAAAACACATGACAATTGAACTTTCCAAAGGGCTTATGGCAGGGGTGTCAAACTCACAGCCTACAAGCCGGATGTCTCATGGGCTGACCACGTCCACCTCCGGTTTAGCCAAGGGGGAAAAAGTCGTGATACATCACGTGACGACAATGTGACGACATTTAACATCCTGGCCTATGGGGAGCATAAAATACCCAGTTTGATTGGTTTTTATGATGATTTTGGTTTTGATTACAATATCTTCAAAACCAGAACATACAGTATGTCAAACAAGAGAAAGTCAATTTTGTCTGAATGTTAATAGACACAGTAAGAGGAGTTCAGCAAATGATACCTGTTGGCTAAAATACTGGGGTTTTTTTTTTGTTTGATACAGGATAATTGACTCCTGTGGGGATTTATAGTCCTGCTAAATCAATCAATCGATCAATCAATCAAGTCATGACTGGCAGATCTACTTGGTAAAAATCAATATCCAATCTTTCCCCCCTTTTTTTCTGTGTCTGATTCTTGGAGACTACCTAGACAAGTTCCTTCATTCACTTTTCCTGGCACTTTTTCAGAAGTGGTTGCCATTGTCTCCTTCCTAGGATTGAGAAAAAGTCCCTTGTCCAAGATTACCCAGCTGACTTTGTGCCTAAGGCGGGTCTAGAATTCATGATCTCCCAGTTTCTAGCCTGATGCCTGATGCTTTGTCCACCAAACTGTTTTTCACAAACATTGTCTAATGCCTGTCAGAGGTGGTATTCAGCAGGTTCTGACCAGTTCTGGAGAACAGGTAGTGGAAATTTTGAGTAGTTCGGAGAACGAGTAAATACCACCTCTGACTGGCCCCGCCCCCATCTATTCTCTGCCTCCTGAGTTCCAGCTGATTTTATTTTTTTTAATTTATTTATTTATTTATTTATTTATTTATTTATTTATTTATTAATTAATTATTAAATTTATGGAACGCCCTTCTCCCGAAGGACTCAGGGTGGTATACAGCCAAAGTAAAAAACATGAATACAAACATTAAGAACAGTTTAAAAAGAAATATATCAATTTGGCCCCAAGGTTAAAAAACAGTGACAAAACATATTAAAAACATTTAAAAAGCATTAAGCCAGCCCGGCTTGCTGAAAAAGGAAGGTCTTCAGGGCATGGCGGAAGGCACCGAGGTCTTGAATTCTTTGTATCTCTGGGGGCAGTTGATTCCAGAGAGCAGGTGCCCCCACAGAGAAGGCCATCAGTCCCCCTGGGGGCCACCAGTCTACATTGCTTGGCCAATGGCACCCTGAGGAGGCCCTCTCTGTGGGAGCGCACTGGTCGGTGGGAGTCATTGGTGGCAGCAGGCGGTCTCAAAGGTATCCAGGTCCTATGCCATGGAGCGCTTTAAAAGTGATGACCAACACCTTGAAGCGCACCTGGAAGACCACTGGGAGCCAGTACAGCTCACGCAGGAGGGGTGTTATGTGGGAGCGCCATGCAGCTCCTGTCACTACCTGCGCGGCCGCATTCTGGACCAGCTGAAGTCTCCAGGTGCTCTTCAAGGGGAGCCCCATGTAGAGAGCGTTGCCATAGTCCAGGCGAGAGATGACGAGGGCATGAGCGACTGTGCACAAGGAATCCCAATCTAGGAAGGGCTGCAACTGGCGGATCAGGCGAACCTGATAAAAAGTCCCCCTGGCCACAGCCGTGAGATGCTCCTCCAAGGACAGCTACGTATCCAGGAGGATGCCCAAGTTGCGCGCCCTCTCCGTAGGGGCCAACGCCTCGGCTCCAATAGTCAGTGATGGAGTCAACTGACTATATCGGGATGCCAGGAACCACAGCCACTCAGTCTTGGATTGGTTGAGCCTGAGCCTGTTCCTCCCCATCAGGAGGATCAGGAGGAAATGGGGATTTTGCACCCTGGAGTGGGGTGGGAATGGAGATTTTATGGTATCCTTCCTCTGCACTGGGTAGGGAATGGAGATTTTATAGTATCCTTCCCCTGGAGTAGGAATGGAGATTTTACAGTATCCTTCCTTTGCCATGCCCACCAAGCCATGCCACGCACACAGAACCGATAGTAAATTTTTTTGAATCCCACCACTGGGCTATATGTAATCAGTAGATTAAGTGGTCAACAGGAGCTGGACAGATCTCTACCCCTATCTATATCATTATCAACACTGATCCTAAATTTATCCTTAGGATAAATGATGTGGGGTTATGATTCTGCAAACTGTATTTTAGAAAGTTAATTCAAGGATGGATATCACAAACATTAAAACCAAAAATTTTGCAAGCGAAATGTGGAATTGCAGATGCTACTTCAGACAAAACAAAGGAGTCTGCATGAGTCAACAAAATCAGTAAAGCTGATCTATTAACTATGTGAAAAATGGTTGTTTTAAAATGTGGTATAGCAAGATTTCACACAGTTGGAAATTTTGATTCTCCAGGCACTTATTCAAAAACTTTGGCTATATTAAACCAAAGGCTTAGCAACATAACACAGCTAGATTAGTTTCTTCATTTCAAATAAGAACGAAGCTCTTATGTACGTTACGTACATAGGATTAAAGCCTACATATCATCTATTTTCCATCTAAATTATAGTTCTCATCTCCTAAATTAACAAGTCAACAGATAATTGGCTTTTCATTTCCTAACATTGAAAGGGATCTATTTTGACATAATGGTTCTCTGTAATAGCCCAAGAGCCTTTCTCCCATCTTGTCAGCTTCTGTCCTTCCAGAAAGGAACATTATTAACTCGAAAACCTTATCCTTAAATTCAGATTTCAGGGTTAGGTAATTGAATCAGGGCTCAGTTCTAGAACCAGAAAATTAGAACTAGACAAGACTTGTGATTTTTTTTTAAAAAAATTTGATTTATATGCCGCCCTTCTCCGGAGACTCAGGGCGGCTTACAATGCGTTAAGCAATAGCCTTCATACTTTTGTATATTTTATACAAAGTCAGCTTATTGTCCCCAAAATCTGATTTAGATTTAATGGCTAATAAATATTGAACATGGAAGATGTTTAATAGATAATTAATTTTACATCCCTGCTTGGTCACAAAAATTTCTGGGATAATTTGAAGCCATCGTTGTCTCTCACCCCAACCTACTTCTCAAGTGTTTCTCAGATGCAATGCGGGTACTAGGGCAGGACTCAATCTCCTTGAAGATTGCCATATACAATAGTCTTTCTTGTAAATCACTGGGTGACTAGTGAAAATGGAAGGTACAGATATCTTAATTCCAAGTCAAGGGCTTGTGCTTCCTTTAGATACACTATGCAGTTTACCAGAAAAGTAACAATGTCATTAAAAATGCCAGAACCTGTTCTTATTGGCTAAACTGAACTAAACAAAGTTTTATCTCCCCTCCCAATTAATGAGAAAGTTCGTTTATACTGAAACCACTTTCAAGACTTTTGACAGTCTTTCTCCTCTGCTTGATCTCTATGATAATGTAGTTACTTTCTCCATGCCCCAAGGAATAGCTCCCACTATATAGAAATGAGTTAGGAAAATTGAATTTTCTATAGTATGCTTTAACTAGTCTGTTTTCCTTGTTTGAATGAAAAGTACTGTTCCTTTTTATCATTTCATATACTGAACCATACTTTGGATAAAGCCCTATTTGTCTATGTGGTTTAGGAAAGCTCTTGCATAAATCTCCTTTATTATTAAAAACACGACTTTTCATCATTTATGTTGTAGTGAATAGCCATGCTTCCAGATTTGTGTGGAGGCTATTTTCCTAATCACTCATATTGCCGCAGCCTCCCAATATAAGTAAATATCCAAATATATACTGCTAACTTTAAGTATTGTTTTGCTGAGATGCTTTTTTGTTTATAAGCATTATGATTAGCACTATAATAATGTAGCATTGAATTTTCTATATGCCAGCCCTCTTCCATTCTAATCCCAAGCCCTGTAAGGTAGATCGAACAGCAGAAGCGACAACAGACCCAACTGGGTACCCACGATCGGGAGTGAATTTGAAATCGGGCCTCCTGAGTTTATGCCCAACACCTTAACTGCTACACATCAGTCCCTCCTCCCCCTTTTGTGTGCTGGGCAGGTATCCAACCTGGGCGGGCCCTTTAAGAGATCATAAGCTCTTGTTTCTTTTCCCCCGGAAGAAAAGTGCTGGAGAACCAGCCGATTAGACTGTGCGCAAGGTGGAGAGAAAGGAGAAGCGGGAGGGGTGGTAACGACGCGCGCTTCCCTTTAATTACCCGCCCAGGCAAGCACTAGAATCAAACCTTTGGCGGGGAGAAAACTGGGGCGTCTTCACTGCGAGCGAAGAACGGAGCAGCAGCGACATAAAACATTCCCCAACCAGCAGCGGTATTCTGTATCGGCTTTCCCAGCAAGCCAGCCACATTCTGCACGGGCGCTCGGTAGTAGGAGGGAAAGTGTTCTGGCAAGCCATGGCCCCTACGCACTTTCAGCTTCTCCTGGTAGCCTCTGAGAAAAGGAAGCGGATTTGGGGGCGCCCGCTTCTGCTTTTGGGATACATGCTGTGGCTGACTCTTGCCCCTCTAAGATGTGCTGCCTTCAACCTGGACACTAAGTTTGTGATTCTGAAGAAAGGCAAAACTCCCGACAGTTACTTCGGATTCTCAGTAGCTCTGCACCATCAATTCCATCCGGAAAGATACCTGTAAGTGGAAACCAAACCAGACAGCGGGGGATAGCGAGGGATCGGTGGGTGGGTGCGTGGGTGAGTGGGAGATGCAAAACTACTACAATTTTGGGGTGGGAAGAAACTGCTGGAAATGAGTTCCTTTTACTATGGTTCTCTCTCTCTCTCTCCACCCCCACCCTCCCCAGCCGCGCTTTCTGAATTGAGGCTAATTCTCTTCGTTTTGTGCAACTATGCCGGAACCTATGCAGGCTTGTGAGTTACACAAACTCATTCAGCAAACACAGTGGTGGTAGTTAAAAGGCATTTGGATTTCAGGATCGTCAGAGTTTCCTGACATCTAGATGAATATCAGTTGTTATTTGTGAGTTTAGCTCTGTTCTACCCGTAAGCAAGTCTCACAAAATTCAATAGGACTTCCTTTTGAATAGATATGGGTGGGATTCTGCTGAGTATAAAGCATTCTTTATTTTTTTTCCATTTTAAGACTACTTGTTTGAACTGTAAAAAAAAAAAAAAAGCAATGCCACCCCTAACCCCCCCCCCCCAATTTTGCATTCATTTTGCAAACATAAAGGCAGATAGTTTCTCCAGTCTGCTTTCAATTAAAAGTCATGCTTTTGATTCCTTTTTTGGAGTCAGGCAGTCTGTTTCTAGTCTCTTACTAAGTAACAAGCATTTAAGTACACACGGATGCGTACACACACAGAAACCATAAAGTTACTGGTTTACATGTATTCTGCACAGTGCACCTGTTAGGCTTATTCCAGTTTTTGATTTAGCTGGAGTTTTATCTATTTATTTATTTTTTTTATGCTTAGTGCCCTCTAGCTGTGTTGAATTACAGTTCCCATAAGGGTGTTGAAGAATCTGCTCCAGGACATCTCGAAGTAGCCATGCTGAATAAAGTGATTTATAGCTCTAACTTGGAAATTTGTAGCCTCTGTCCATGTGTGCAGATTTGGATATGAGATATTAGGGTGTCATATTAGTTTCATGAATGCATGTAATTTTTTCCTGTAGTATATTTTATCCTCTCCCCCTTCCTCCTGTAAGAATTTTCTGAAAAGCAAGAAACTGTTGTAAATACTATACTGTCATATGATTAACAAAGAATTTATTCAAAACTGGTGCTAATCAGTAGCCACTAGAGATACTAAGAGAAGTGCAATTGACATTTTTAAGCAGGAATTTGTGAGTGGGGGAATATCATAAAATTTCCATTTAAATTTAGTCTGAGCTAACTTCAGCCAAAGTGTGTACTAATTTATCAGTTTTTCTCATAATGTGTATGTCTTATTATTCAGTAGCAAGCATGGTAAACCTATTCTTCAGAATGTGTGGGTTGTTTTAATACAAAACAGCCAAGTTTTTCCTCTTGCGTGCATATAATGATGAATGTTCATTGAATTTTCCTGTAAATCAGTTTCTTCGACACAGCTCTTCCTTTGGTTTACACTACAATCCCCATCTTCATGATTTTTGTGTATGTTGGTTGGGCTCATAGCAGTTGCAATCCCAAATATTTGGAGGATGCCAGGCTGGAAAAAACCAGTTTAGATAAAAGGCCCATCAATCTTTTGTGAACATAATTGCCTTCTTGTTTCACTAAAATGGAGTGTCATTACATGTGAAACTAATGTGAATCACCTAATCTGGCTGCTGTAGTTTATAAATTAATACTGAGTTTTATAACTAGGTCTACTCAGCAGTCAGTATTGGGTTTTTGAACCTTCACTCAAAAGTCATCCTAATATATAAACAATAAAAGGAACCAATGACTATTGAGAGAGATTATATTTAATTTATTTGCTTAATTTTAAATGTATCCCACTTTATCTTCAGAAGATTAGTTAAGAAGCTTAAGTAAGGCTGTCTAGTTAACATTTGGATAGGAATTTGGCAAGATAGGAATAGCAATCACTTCTGCATTATTGCCCTGAAAATTGCATAGATTTGTTCATAAAATCACCATGTGTTCAACTCAACTTGGATACTGTAGTATATATTGAATCAATAAAGCCAGTTTCATTTAGATAATATACTTTGACCATAAAATGTGAACTAATAGAGAAATGAATGCAGCAGATCAAAAGCCTGATAGAAAAAAGAAGTATTTGCCATTCATTGGAAGGCCAAAAGTGGATTACACAGACTTTTCCAAGAAATGGACTCAGAGATTTACTGTTGCAAAGAGAGGGGTAGCTATATATATCTTGCTTGATGTTTCTCAGCTGAGAAAAGGAAAGGAGGGAGAGGTATGATATTGTGAACCTTTATCTCTTGTTTGTTTCAGGTCTTATTTAAATAAATTATTCCCAGTTAAACTCAGAGAAAAAGAAATCTAGAAAAAGGGAGGGCGGGGGGAAGATAACTTTTTCTGTTTCCTGAATTTTACCTTCCTGCCAAATCATTGTACAGGTAGTCTTTGACTTACAATCATATCTGAGCCCAAAATTTCTGTTTGAATTTTACCCCAATTTACGATCTTTCTTGCCACAGTTGTTAAGTGAATCACTGCAGTTGTTTAGTAACACAGTTGTTAAGTGAATCTGGCTTCCCCATTAACTTTCCCACAATGCTCCAGAATGTTTTTACCTTAGGGATATTCTGGGAACTTAAAAGGCAGCCAATGTGATGCCCGGTAAAGCTAAACTCAAAGCAGGGCACAGGGCACAGAGTGCCTTAGTGGGCATGCTAAGGACATGGTCGGTGCCAGGAGGCCTATTTTGTTAATCTTCTGAAGGATTGCAGCTTGTTGCTGAGTATTACCTTATTTGGGGATATAGGAAAGCACTCCCCCCCCACCCCAAGGCACATGAATTGGTGGCTCTTGGCTGGATTCTAGGGGGGTGCTTGGGGGGCATTCTAACTAGTCATGTGGCAGGCATCCTTTTCACTTTATTCCTTTGGCTTTGTTGTAGCAAATGCAAGCCTCATCTTGCAGATGATTTCCTGGGATTTGTGCATTCTCCTTTATTCCCTCCTACTCACTGACTGCCTGATGTGCAGGAGGATCATATCTGATAGAGCTAAAGCAGATTTCTCCATCTTACTGCTTTCTTTTTGTCCTTTGGACCGTAACTCCATGGCTAGGCTGGGCTGGGCTGGACTGGGATAGGATGCAATGTGTGGTCAAATGCTTCTTAAAGAGATAAAACGCCAGCTACGTAATCTATTCAGGTAAAGAGCTGCACTCCAGAAAATAAGTGGGGTCAGTTAAAATCTAAAAATAATGTAATTGATTATATAAATTTAATGACATCTTCCCACATCTGTTAAATCATCCCTTCTGGTGCTTTTATAATTACAATATGACAGAAGTATTCATACTGATGGTCTCAGTATGTATACCGGTAGGATAAAGAATTTATAGGTTAAATCAGGGGTATTTAAACTTGGCAACTGTAAGACTGATGGACTGCAACTCCTACAGGTAGAAATTGAAGTCCACCACCAGTCTTAAAATTGGCAAGGTGGGACATCCTTGTCTTAAAATCTTGTTTCTCAACTTTTGCAATTTCATTTCCCCAAATTCTCAGTAGGGCAATGTTAGATGATGAATTTATTTATTATTTATAAATCTATGGCTCCCAAACGCTGTAGGAATTGAAATCCACCCAGCTGGAACTTGAGGAAACTCTGGTTTAAAGAAATTCCTGCTGGAAAGCAGGTTTAAGATCAAGCTAGCCACTTATAAGACACCAACAGAGAAGAAGAAAAAGAATACAGGTTGGGGTAACATCTGGTGCCAATTTGATCCCACACATTACATGTTTAACAATATTTAATGTCATTAAAAGTATTGCCCTAAGTTGGGTTTTGAACTTTTACTTACAGCCAACATGTGCTGTTATTTTTGTAATTAAAAATCTGGTTAATTTCTCTATAAAATAAAAACTGGGGCCAAGCAATTGGTAAGCCTTAAGGTTTTTTTCATTTTTATAGGGTTCATTTATAAGAAATCATATTCAAGTTTGTTTAGAAGTACATCTGTTCAGAAAAACATATTTTAATAAGTATATAAACAATTAAATTAATATTTATATAACCCATGGGACTCTTTCTCTGATTAACTTTTGCTTTTTATATTGATTTAAGTGTGACTTACACTTTCTGAATGCAACCTTCAATGCTGTGCTCTAATATTTTGTAAGAACAGAAATGGAAAATAAGCACATTTAATCACACCCTTTAACACATTTCCAATTTTTTTTTCTACCAATGTGATTAAACGTGTCTAAAATAGACCACTGCAGACAGGCTGTTAAAAGTTAGGAACTATAGAGAAAAGTGAGTTTGATTGGTTCTAGCTCAACCTTCATAATGCATTATTTTATAACACTGGGACATGTTTTTGTTTGTTTTTAAATTGATAAGTCGTTCAGACCTCGCTTAAAGTCTTTAACTTTATGTTATTAAGTAAGATAGTTGTTAAGTGAATCCTGCACCATTTTATGTGTTTTCTCACTGCAGTTATTAAGTGTCTATGGAGATTCTCAGTCATTCAGGTCATGGTTGTCCCAAAGGTGCTTTTTCAAGAGGCAACTGGTTTTTCTTTGAAGACATTTCTTCAGCTGCAGTTATTAAGGTTGATCAGTGAATTGGGCTTCCCCATTGACTTTGCCAGAGGGTGGCAAAAGGGGATCACATGACCTCAAGACACTGCAATTGCCATAAATATGAGTCAGTTGCCAAGGGTCTAAATTTTGATCACATGACCAGGAGGATGCAGCAAGTCATAAGTCACATTTTTCTGTACTGTTGTAACTCCGAACAGTCACTAAAGGAGCTGTTGCAAGTCGAGGACTACCTGTATTTTCTTGGAAACAAAGAGGAGCAATAAAGGAGCAATTTGAAAGAGGTTCATAAGGATGAAAAAAAAATATTTTATGTTTATAACTTTGCTTTAGAAAAGCAAATTCAAGAGCAAAACCATGAAAATAAATAATTAAATTAAATCAATCCGTAGGATAGTTTCTGAAATAAAATATCTATGGTCGTACTCTAAGAGTCAT